GTGGGACGGGGAGCGGTTCCCACCCTCCAGCCCTCGCTCTGTTATTGCTGCACGGCCAAGGGCACGTGCTCAGCTCGCGGGCAAACAGCTCCATTGCTTCCCTGCCCCTGTGCAGCCACCTGATCCCCTCCCTGCCTGCTCGGGCCATCGCTCCTAGGACATGAGTGCTGCCCAAGGGGGTCTCGGTGTCCTTTCCTTTGCAAAGGAATCCCCAAATCCCCCCGGGGGGGGCCCTGAGGGGCCCCAGGCTTTGCCAGCCTGCCCAGGGGCAGGCACTGCCAGCCCCACGCACCTAACCAGTGCTCTCCCGTCAGCTTCCCGAAGCCATCCCGGTAGGCTTCCCAGCCGCGGAAAAAGTTCACGGAGCCGTCCTCCCGCCGCTGAAACACCTGGGGAGGGAGACACGCCGGGCGTCAGTCACGGGGCTGCTCCGAGCCTGCGCACCCCGAGCAGCCTCCCTGCTCCCCACCATGCTGCCCACCCCTCCCCGCCGCCGTCTTATTAGACGCAGGCACAAATTAAACCTTTTCAACTCAGTAATTACACAGGGATGCTGGCGAGCAGGTCCCCAGGGAAATGCCAGATCAGGCTCCCGGGGACGAGTCAGTCGGTTCAGATAAAACACTTCACCAGATCCTCTGCCTGGAAGCGGGAGCAGAGCTTGGGAAACCGCAGCGTGTTCCTGCAGGAAGGTGGCTGGTGCCCCCGGGAGGGGTGGGCACCCTGCGTCCGGCTCCAGGCTGCACGCGGGAAACAGCCTGGGCTCTGCCATTGCATGCAGGAGCAGAGGTATGGGCAGATGGATGCACAGACGGCATGACTGGAGGTCTGTCCCTGCGGCACGTGCTGCCCAGGTCAGCCCGAGCCATCCTGTAAATGGCAGGATGCTTGGTGCCACGGAGAACTCGTGGGTCCCCGCTCTCTGCTGGGCAGCCGCCCCGTTATCAGGCATCGCTCCTGTGATGGCCTCGTTAGTCCTCCCAGAGAAATTAACTGTGGGGCACTGAGCACCCCAGCTCCTGCAGAGCCCCCCGATCCCGGCCAGATCCCCAGGCCTCAGCATGGCTTTTCTCCTCAGCGCCTTTCCCTTTTTCTCTCCCATCTGCTCATCGGCATGTTGTGCCCTGTGTGTTTCATCCCCTTTTATCCGTAGTTTCAGGTTTGATTTATTGACAATGATCCAGAAAATACTACTCCGTGTCCGACCATTTGAACTTAATTAAGCCTTCAGCCCTGGATTAATTGCATTAAACTTGGCTGAGCCAGCCTGTCCGACTGCCACCAAGCACCGTGCTCCCACGGCTGTGGTGGGGCGGGGATGGGACGCTTGGTGATTTAGGAACAGCCACCCCACGTGCCGGCAGCCAAGGGGCCGGAGCACCCTGTCTTTGGGGCTGGGGTGTGCCGCCGCGCCCATTCACCCCGCTTCCAGCACCCAGGCTCGGGCAATGCCGCAGAGCCCCGGCGCCGGTGGGGAAGCTGCCGTGCTTTGCTCCGCTGCGGGGATGCCCCTTCGCAGCCTCCCTCCGGCTGCTCCTGCCCATGCAGGGTTTCATCCCGGCACGCGGAGGAGACCCAGCTCATGAACTTCGCGCTGTTTTGCCCTTCACCAGATGAGCAGTTTTGGGGTGGTGGGTGCCCGGTGCAGGCTCTGGCACACTCCTCGGCATGGCACAGCTGTGATCCTGCTGTACTTACCTTCTAGAATTAGAGCCTTAATTTTTATCCCTGCGTTGAGCACTTGAGAAGCTGCGGTTAAGCCCGTTTAAAGGGGCTTTCTTCAGGCTTGCCGGGAGAGGGGGGATGGCGTGGCTGGATGGGGGCCTGAAGCTGATTTTCCCCGGCCGATGTCGGCTCCGGCGCTGCCACACGGGGAAGGCAGCGGAGGCAGCACCGATGCTCCCTCTTAATCGGCTTTGACCCGTGGTTGTAAATAGGCCAATTGCCTGAGCGGTGCCCAGGGAAGCGTGCGGGGCACATCTCCGTTGGCTGAGCCTCAGCACGGCTCCGCAATCACCCCAGGCGCCGGAGGAGCCCTCGGTGCCCCTCTGCCCACCGGGTTCAACCCCAAGGGGCTCGAAACCGGGTCGTAAGGTCTGGCAGGTGCTGGAGGTCCTGTGTCCTCCTGCTCCATCCTCATCATCTCTCATGCACGGTACCTCCTCAGGCTTCGACTGT